CGTAGCGGGGCACACCACATAATACTGTTTTGGTATACTATGATTTGGTATACTTCAGTGCGATATGCACCGTAGCGGGGCACACCACATAATTCTGTTTTGGTATACTATGATTTGGTATACTTCAGTGCGATATGCACCGTAGCGGGGCACACCACATAATTCTGTTTTGGTATACTATGATTTGGTATACTTCAGTGCGATATGCACCGTAGCGGGGCACACCACATAATTCTGTTTTGGTATACTATGATTTGGTATACTTCAGTGCGCTATGCACCGTAGCGGGGCACACCACATAATTCTGTTTTGGTATACTATGATTTGGTATACTTCAGTGCGATATGCACCGTAGCGGGGCACACCACATAATTCTGTTTTGGTATACTATGGCTTGGTATGCTCCGGTGGGTTATGCACTGAAGTGACGGTTGAAGAAAGGAACAGTTGGGTCCCACCAGGACTTTTGGTTTCCTCACACAGCCCGAAGACACTCATTTATATGTAGCAACGTCTCCAAATTGCTTACAGTACGTAACCATGCACGTGTGTGTGCCAAGGATAGGCATGCCCTCCAGACAGAAAGGATAAACAGCTTCATTTACTGTATAGCATTGGTGTCAAACTGCAGCCCTGGGGGGCCGCAGCCCTGTGTAGCTTAGTTTTTTCCCTGTTCCACCACAAATGATTCAGCTCAACAGCAGAACAGCTTCTTTTAATGCTAGAATTTCAGTTTCTATTTATTACTACATGAAAGGAATGTTTTACTTAAAACTACTGGTTATTTCTAATGTGATGTATATTTTTTTGTAAAAAAAACAATGAATAAAGTAATGATTTTTGTTATAATCCAATAAATATGCAGTATTGTTACTGAATTAAGCAAGCATCTAAGGACTTTCTGTGAGAACTGTTTGTATCAAATGAACTAAAACTTCACTATGAGCTGTCATTGAAAATGGCTTAATATCTGATTTTAATCACAAACTAGGGAACAGTAGATTTTCTACTAAATTAACAACACTTTTACGTGGACAAATTGAACACACAATAAACCCCAAAATCTAATTTTTACTTAGTTTTACTGACTTGTTCTTGCACGGATGACTATGTAAAGAAAGCCTAACCTGGAAGGGCACACAGCGGAAGAATGGGTGAGTTACCACCTCTTCCATTAAGACGACAGTGACGTCACCCTCCATGAGCAGTGAGATGTTGAACGTCACCGGCATCTGAGACTCCAGGTGGACGCATACTGTCTCTGTGCTTCCACTCACGGCTTGCGAGGTGACAGTCACCAGGTAGTCCCTAATGGGAAAATCAATTAATTGTGGCAAAAGAAAGTCCCACTTAGACAGACTGAGACATGCCTAGAAGGCTTCTGCTTTCCACCCCCGCTTGTCATATGCAGGGCTGTGAGCCCATCCAAAGTCCACACCCAGAGCCGGAGCTCAGGCCCGAAGCCGAACCACAGCCTGGCCTGCGGCCCCAGGCAGCGATTCCTAAAGACTTCAGAGGCATGAATGGACAAGTCACTGTGGACGAGCTCAGGCAGCTGCTGCAGTGCAGGAGAGAGGCAAGCAACAACCTTAACATACATCACACAACCCAGTCAGCACAAGTACGTCGGCGCTACGTCGCTGATACGTTTTTTGAAGGTCGGTATTTAGTAGCTTTTCAGTCGTGTGCACATTGGCACTACGTAGCGCCTCCGTAACAGCTACATCCAGGCGATGTAATCGCGACGTTTTTCCGTCTCAACAGCCATGAAAACGCGACGTCTAGGCGAAACTCCGCGATGATTCCGCAACCCTTTTTATTATCCTACCATTTCCCGACCCTCTTACTATCCTACGTGATGATTCCCTGACCCTATTATCCTACGATTGCCAATAATTATTTCAACGTTTGCTTTAGTGTTGAACACATATCGATACTAATATATTTTATTTATAATATATATATAAAAAATACAATGGTAACATGAAATGCACACACAAAATATAAAATGCACGTTACAAAAATAAAAAAAAAACAGAAAAATAAAAATACTGAAAGAAAAGAACTATCGGACACGCTTGGTCAGCCTGTCACGAGCCACTCTTTGATGGTTTTTTCAGCTTCAGCCTCATTTGGACTAGACACCAGTGGGTTTCGTAATGCAGACTCTAAAAACAGAACAGACACAATTCACTTACATTAGACCTTATTAAATGGTAAATGTCAATCATGAACAGGTGAGTTTATTGTTATTCCTTTACGTTGTGATTGTTCACTTTTTATCTGCAATCTGAAAAAAAGCAACTTTGGGCATTTTAAACCAATGAAAACTATGGGAAAGAATTATGTATCGTGCATGGGAAGGTTAAATCTATATTGTGTTTAAACCTTTAGGA